TCGCCTTCAGTGGACTGCTTGTTACACATTACTTTACAGTATCTTGTTACAAAATGTAACGTTATTAGGACCTGCATTTAATTTTTATTTTGTTCAAATATTCATCCCTCTTCAGTGACTGGGCTTTACAATAAGCTTATTTTATTATTGACAAACTATGTCCTCTTTGTCAGGGGAGGACTGGGACAAAATTTCAGGCCGGGAAATCTCACACTCATCCAGGCCATCCCATACACCCACAACAAATTCTGAAACCTGGACAGCCCTATTTTTTTTGTATGGCCATCACATAAAAAGGTTTAAATCTTTAGGCTGTGGACATGCAAAACAATTAAAAGTTCTCCCCTGAACTGCACCTTCACTTCCATTTTCTTTTTCAGTTTCTTTATTTTGCCTTTATCTCTCTGTCTCTCACATTTAATACTCAAGATTTAACAAAACTATACTTTCTTAATTGCCTAAATGTCAAAATTAGTACAATACTAACTACATCATTACAATATCTTTATAGAAAAATCCTAATACTGATCATGAGTCATACTTTTCCCTCACAAAATGTAAGCATTATTTTATAATAGTAAAAATACAGTAACCATGTTTTTCTGGCAAATGGATTACTATTTGTATTTAGTTTTACTACAAATTCCATGGTTAAACTACGGTTAGTGTAGCAATACCATGGTCAATTTGTAGTAAATAATAACCATTGTCTTTGGATTTATAATTAAACTTTGTTTAATTTTCATAAGGGTTGTGTTGTTGTCTGCCCTAGCTCCCTCTAAACCTATTATAAAACGATATGATTACTTGTCTGCTAAATTACAACTGTAACTTTACAATCGATAATGATGTCCTTTAGTACAGTATTTTGAGTGAGTAATGTACTACTACTGCTTAACTAAGTGAACAAAGACAAAACTACAATGGCCTAATTACAGATGAAACTGACCTGTACTTGAAATCCTGAACAGTAGTTTTGCTTCTTGGCTTCACCCGGGAGCAGTCCACATTGGTGTCGAAATAGTAGATTGCACCTCAAAATCCTCATCCGAGTCACATATCTGTCTCAATCTCTGAAATTGGCCATACGGAATATTCTTAATTAACCATGGACGATGAAAACTTTCTCCATGTAGAATAGTATTTCGATCAGTAGGTTCTCTATAGACAGATGCATGATGATACCCTTGTACATCCTTTCTGATGGTTAAATCCAGAAAAATTAATTTCAGTCTTGTCATATTCCAGTTTAGTCTCAGTTTTTCATTACTTTAATTGATATAAGCATGGAAGCCCAACAACTCTTTCTCACTGCCAGAAAAGAAAAAAAAAAATTGTCATCTATATAACGTCCCCACCAAACTATTTTATCTCTGAAAACATTACTGGTCGAGTACACAAATCTTTCTTCACATGAACCAAGAAATAAGTTTGCATAATTTGGGCGAAACTCACCCCCATTGCAGTACCTTTTTCTTGTCTATACAGGCAGCCTTCAAATAAAAGAACATTATTTTTTTAAATCCATTCTGTCAAGCACACAATAAAATCACTGGGAGGCAAATCATCTTTTGATCGTGATTTTAAATAGTATCTCCTAGATTCCAAGCCTTCATCATGGACTATATGAAGGGGTGTCCAATCCTGCTCCTGGAGGGCCACTGGGCCCTATCATACACCCGGCGCAATGCGACAAAGATTATTTTTGTGTACATAAATATAAAAATGCCTACATGTCATGATGGATAGTCGCTGCATATATCAGAATTACGCGCTCAAGCAGATCCGTTCCCTCACTAGAGAAGCGTTCAGTTTTTCCGCTTGTAAATTCCGCCATGTAAATAGCGAATCCTCCATGGTGCGAGCACAACTGCCTTTTACAGGGAATGTGAGATGAGACTCTGATTGGTTTATGGCACGTTATGCCCAAAACACACCCATTACTCATTAAAAGAATAGGGACAACCCTTTTAGACAATGCGCCAGGTGCGCCGTCCATTTTTTCCCGTCCTTAAACTAGCAAAAGTAGAATCAGACATGCCCTAAACGCAATTGCGCCGTGCGCTTTAGACCATGCGCTTAGATCATTAAAATAGGGCCCACTGTCTTGCAGAGTTTAGCTCTAACCCCAATTAAACACACCTGAACCATCAAGTTAAGGTCTTACTAGACATTCTAGAAACGTCCATGCTGGTGTGTTGAAGCAAGTTGGAGCTAAACTCTGCAGGACACTGGTCCTCCAGAACCGAGTTTGGACACCGGTGCTTTAGGTACTAATATGTACCTTTAAGGTACTTATATGGACCCTTTAGGTACCAAGGTGTACCTTTTAATAAGGTACTGGCCAAGTGACAGCTTTTGTACCTTTATTTCTGCATTTGTGTGTGTGTGTGTGTGTGTGTGTGTGTGCGTGTGACTGGTTTTACAGTTTTTTTCAACTGCTTACACACTAAGGGCCCTATTTTAACGATCTAAAGCGCACGGTGCAATTGCGCTTAAGGCGTGTCCGAATTCACTTTTGCTAGTTTAAGGACGGGAAAAATGGTCGGCGCGCCCGGCGCATGGTCTAAAAGGGTTGTCCCTATTCTCTTAATGAGTAATGGGTGTGTTTTGGGCGTAACGTGCCATAAACCAATCAGAGTCTCATCTCCCATTCCCTTTAAAAGCCAGTTGCGCTCACGCCATGGTGGATTCGCTATTTACATGGCGGAATTAGCAAGCAGAAAAACTGAATGCTTCTCTAGTGAGGGAACTGATCTGCTTGTGTGCGTAATTCTGATACATGCAAAGACTATCCATTATGACATGTAGGCATTTTTATATTTATGTACACAATAATAATCTTTTAAATTTTAATCCTTTCATTTTTCATTTTTAAAAATATTTGTGTGCTGCTGCGCATCCCTGTGTGTGTAATAAGCAAAGTGTACGCACGCTGTTCACCCGCATATAGGCGCATATTACTAACGCGCTCTTTAAATAACAAAAATAAATAAATAAATAAATAAAATATTGCGGCAGACTTTAGACCAGGTTTTAGTTGGTCAATGGCACAGTCTATTTCAGTTGCCTCAAAATAGCAACGCGCCAACAATGCGCCTGAACACACCTCGTTTTCAGACCAGCACGCCCATGGGCGCACAAATGAGCGCAAATGCATTTGCTATTTAAACAAAGCAGGACATGAAAATGACAACTGCGTCGGGCTGAAACTAGCTAAAAACACTTGCGTTGCGCCTGGCGCCACATTGTGCTGAGTGTATGATAGGTCCCTAAATATTTACTTGTCACACAATTTCTGAAACCTGACATTCAAACACCAGAACCACTCACCAAATCTGCAAAACCATACACTAATTCACAGCCTTTGACTCAGTTTTCAATTTCATAAAACACTTTTGCAAAACACAACACACAAAAATCTAACAGGAATTACAGCAAAGGCAAAGGTGTTTGCAAATGTTTGCTTTTGAGATATGTTTGTGATATTTTGAATACAGTGCTTCATTTTCCAAGAGATGTGAGGCATTTTGCATTTTGTGTGTGCAATTCTTGGATTTGTGTGTAAAGTTTTGAAAAAAAGAGGCAATGTTTTGAAAATGTGTGTAAGCAGTTGAAAAAAACTGTAATTGTGCACAGTACAGCTGAAATAAAACTTTAAACTTTAAAACTTTTTTTGTAATGTTAATGTATCATTTTTAGATTTTCATTTAGATTTTTTGCTAACTTTCAACTTCTAACCTGCATTCTCAATATTTTGTATTATACACTGAACAAAATTATAAACGCAACCGGCAAAAGAGAAGTGCTCACTAACACAGATTTAGACAGATTTGTGAACAATATTTGAGAGAAATAGGCCTTTTGTGTACATAGAAAAAGTCTTAGCTCTTTGAGTTGAGCTCATGAAAAATGGGGGCAAAAATAAAAGCGTTGCGTTTAAAATTTTGTTCAGTGTATAACAATCAAATACATTAATTAGCTTTTCTAAACAGTTTGTTTTGTTTTGTTTTTAACTATGGCTGGGGTTTTTTTGCCTTTCTGATGTAATTACAATTAGATGAGAAGTAGATAGTGAAGGCCAAAACTATTTATCACAGAAGGATAACAGAATCAGATTTTATTCCTCTGGAGGATTTGCTTTAGCTTTTGCTTTTGTTTACAGGAAATAATGAGCCATCCATTGCTCTGCTGTAGTTTAAAGCACAGATGGTAGCTGATGTACTCTCTGATCATTGGGTGCCAGACACAAGCTACTTTTGATGAGTAGCTGCTAGCATGTCTTACAAAATAAATAAATAAAACCATGCACCATGAAATGTTACACAGCCACACATTCTGTTACACTTCTCCTCCTTTGTGTGTGGGTGACTAGAGGAGTGAGAAAAGCCAGAAACAGAAGTCAGGTACATGCAGCAAACACAGCGTGTGTGCATTTGTGGGTGAAATGATCTTTTTGAGGTGGGTCTGCATGTTCATAGTACTTCTTTTTTTGAACAGGGATTTATTTTTATTTTTTTTCTGTTCAGTTGTGTTGTTATGTGCTTCACTCTCTCTCTCTGTCTTACAAGCTCACTCTCACTTTCTCTCTCTCTCTCTCTCCCTCCCTCCATCTGCTCTCTTCCCTATCTGTGTCCATCTCATTTTGTCTTTCTTTCTGGATCTCCATGTTGCGGCATGATCTTCACTTTGGTTTGGGTTCATTTCTTTCAAAGTGCTGGCTCCCTGAACTTTGTTTTTAATGGTATTGTCAGTGACTTCTCTCTTCCTCTTTCACTCTCTCTCATATACTTTTTACATTGTGTTGTCACCGTCATCCAGTCACATTTGCATGAATGACGTTTGTATTTCCTCCATCAGCAGCAAAAATGGCTGTAAGAAAACTAAATAGGGAAGAGGAACCAAGGGCCTTTGTGGTGAGAGAGGGTGCCATGGTCACATGCTCTCTGTCACGCTCTTGTTTGTTTTACCTCGCACTGTTCCAAAGCCGGATTTTTGTTTCCACATTGTGGATTTAATTGGGCAATCTTTAGCTGCTGCCGTGTCACCTTTAAGTTCTAAGCTCTGGTGAGTGACCTGTGATTGCACTATGTTAGAGCATGCAGACTGATCTTCTTCATATCTTTTGATGAGCTTGATAGGAATCTTTCGTAAGCGTAAATATGTGATACACAGACGACAGGGCACAGATAAAGGGATGTGAACAATACAAAGAACTGTACTGTTTAAATTTCACTTCTTTATTTCTGCAAGTAACTAGGGGTGGAAGGTAATGTTATTGTAGTTTATATAATTTAAAACCTGGGCTTTTTTTCATAGTGATGTAATTTGTAAATTTGCATTTGTCTAATGATATCTGTCCTGTGAACAAGCTAAACTGTACAGCATCAGATTTAATGAACAGCTGTAGAGCCAGGGTTCAAAATATTTTTTTTTAAGACAGTAAAAATTAATGACAAACTTTCTTCAAATCTCCAATTAATAAATTTTTTAGACAGGACTGTCTTAACTCTAAAGTGTTCATCATAAATAGATCATCATAAATCTGCAATCATGTTACTAAAACTAGCTAAAACAGAAAATTTAAGAGACAAAAAGATAAGCAAAATTAAGTATTTTTAAAATAATAATAAAAAATGTCTTCACATTTCCATAAATGCGAAAATAATCTAGTCTAGGTAGGAGGTCCTTGATGCTATCATTTTTCTAGAAACGAGTCATAACTCTACCACCACCGTTTTCTACTCGTACTCTGGTGCTTCTGCAATATGCAAATATTGACCATTTGTTCACATTAAATATGAGATTCCCACTAGACTTAAAATCAAAGCCATCATGAAGTATCTTCACCACATTTTTACATTTCCATGATTTATTGAGCAGAGAAAAGACAATAGTTTTCAAATGTAAACATACTCTTAAAGTGAGCAAGTTTATTTTTTTCAAGTAAATCAATAATCAACCATTTTTCTGCTGCTATAGCATTTTCTTTTGAAGTCAGCCAGCTCTAATACACATTTTGTAGCTTCTACCCTCTCAGTCCTTTTAAACAATGGTGATTTGTAATATGTGTGAAATTTTTAACTTCCTATCGCCTGTATTCCAATTCAGATTTGGGGGAGGAATCATTTGATCCAGAGTCCAGGCCTAATGAAAATAATAATAAAAAAGTATAATAATAATAATAATAATAATGAAACTGTTTCTTTTTTTAGGTAATCAGTGAGCTCCATCTCCCAGCATCACAAGGGTTGTGTTACCATGGCAACTAGCAAGCAGAGCTTTGTGAGAGCTACCGAGCCTCAGTGTTCAGCGTCTGCACAGAGAGAGGAAGAGACGCATGTTAAGGCCCCTCTCACGACTATGTATGTCCACAGCATTCCTGCCCCTGGCCTGCAGCCATATCCTCAGGCCCAACCTGGAGCCTTGCAGGATGCAACGGTTGTACCACTGTTCCTTCCAAGGATGTGTAGCAGCTCGACTCTGCCCTCTCTGACACTGCATATTGCCAGCGGGGCTGTTTTGCAACAACAAAGGCTAGTGGCTCCAGCAACCTCGGGCAGACTTAAGTCTGTTGGGAAGCATATTTGCCCACAGTGCGGAAAGGACTGTCTGAAGCCCAGCGTGCTTGAGAAACATCTTCGTTGCCACACAGGAGAGCGACCATATCCCTGCACTACCTGTGGCATTTCCTTCAAGACGCAGAGTAACCTTTATAAACACAAGCGCACCCAGGCTCATGCCCGCCTTTACAGCGAATCTGACAAAGGCACCTTCAGCAGCCAGGAGAGCACGGAGAGTTTAAAGGACAACTGTACTAGTCCATCCTGTGAGATGAATGGCCGAGATTCAGCTGACATGAAGAGGAGCAAAGAAGTTCTTCCTGTAGTGACAATACCGAGCCAGGTAGACTCTATAGAGACTAAGACAATGTCTATAGAATGGGCACTTCACAATGCTGCCATGGTTGGATTAAGCACAACACCAGCGCTTCAAGACAACGTAAATTATTTGAGAAAAACTGTGGAATTATCAGATGGTGTGAAAAATAATCCTGCTATCCAGCAGACAAGTGCACTGAGTGAGGATGGATGTACACAGCTGACTCCAAATCGTATGCCTCTTCAGAGGCAGGAAGCTTTATTTTCCAAACCGTGGGATTCCCCCATGTCCCGAGGAAAATCTCAAAGCCACGACAGTACAGACTCTGGCTTTAGTGACAGCAGTGAGCAGCATTCATCCAGCAGTCCTGGAGCAAGTTTGCATTATCCCAATATGGAATCATTGACAGAAACCACTATGGACCGGCAGGAACCAGGCGCCTCCCAGACACCCTCAGATATGACCTCTGACCCCAAATGCAAGGTGTCCATTCAGGAGAAGCAGAAGCTGGAAGAACGGATTTCAAAGCTTATATATGAGAATAGTGTGTTGGTGGATAATAAGCAACTGGAAACTGTGCGGCCAAGAAAGACAATATTGTCAAAACAAGGAAGCATTGATCTTCCTGTGCCATACACTTATAAAGACTCCTTCCATTTTGAGATAAAGAGCAGCAAGCATAGCTCAAGCTCACAAAATCAAGACAGAGGAGGTGGGGCAATTCACGGCTCTGTGCCTACACAGCACTCCACTGGCTTGGACCATGCACCATTAACTCGAAGCAGTTCTTTACCCTTCCCTATGGATGGCAAACCCACTGATGGAGCAATGAATTTGAATCTTAGCAGACAGTGCAGTGCAGGGCATGTTTACCCATTGCGGTCATCAGACCAACAAGCACCAGGTCATCGCTCACTAGTTAGGCAGGTAGCGGTAGATTGTCTGCCTACTGCAGAGGGATCCCCAGTTGAAAGAGATAGTATTAGCAGCCTTAGTTCGGATGGAGACAGCACTGATGTTGGAACAGAGCCAACTATAAAAGGAAACTACAGGAAGAAAGCCCGAAAATTTGACTACACAAAATGGCACACTTACAAAGGTGGGACATTTACAAAACTCTACAATACTGAGAAAGACTGTACACTGAAGGCGAAAAAGACTACACTGAATTCTGACCAAAGCCTGGGAATTCAAATTAGCCAACATAAGGACAATGGATCCGTGTCTCTGAGCTTTACTTCTTGTTCTGTTGTGACCTTACAAAATGACTTTAAGATGTCATATACCAGCTTTGAAAATAATAAGGGGGAAGACATGGAAAGTGATGAAATAATAACACAACACACTGACTTCCATATCCCATCAGAGAGGAAGAAACAGCGCACTGGGAATGATGTGCAAATGCTCAGTATTTCAGATCCTAGAACTGGAGAGGCAAATGGAAATCTGTGTGGTTTAATTAGTCAATTACCCCTGTCAACTTGTGCAACGTACGGTTCCATCACAGTTCCGGCACAAAAGGTCAACATGCAAAATCTCCACCCGCAAGGTAGCTTCATACATCAGTTGTCAAATCCAAGTCAGTTCCTTGGTAATACTCTTTGCCCTGCTTTTTGTTTTATCAACGTGAGTGGGACATCTGGCACCCTGTCTGGTTCTATCAGCAGCCCTACTGTCCCTGAAGCCAAGACCAGCTTTCCTCCCAAATATCAGCTGAAGATTCCGTGTTCCACAGATGGAGTGTCGGCTTCTTGCTCTGACTCCGCTTTTGCACATAGCACTTGCTCCAGCATTCCAGATCTCAGCCAAAGCTGCCAAACTACAGTGCAGTGTCATCTTGAGAACAGTGTACTATCCTCAAAGCAGTGTCAGGGTGTTTCAATAGTCACAACCTTTGACCAGAGTAAACAAGATGTATTATGCGCAACAACTTCAATGCCTATTTTATCGCTTTCCTGTTCAGAGCTAAATCAAACTTTATCCAAATTCCTGACACAGGTTCAGTCTACCACACCTACATCAATTTCACTTGTTTCTCCACCATTGCAGCATCAAATATCTTTGTTGCAGAGCAACTGTGCAACACATGTGGTAGAAAACCTGTCAACAGGTTTTGTATCATCAACCTCAGACAACACTCAGCCTGTTACATCACTGAACACGTCAACAGCGAGTTATTGTTCAGAATCTGGTGTACAAACCTGTTCTTCAGTAACTACGACACCTACAGTACAAAACCATCCTGCCTCCCCTGTGAATGAATCAGGAAAACCTCTTGGTCTTACAGGGGACACCAAATCCACAGTGTATGAGAATACTCTGAAAAGCAAGGCCTCTAAAATGGCCACTGATGACTTTCAAGGGTCCCAGTCTGAAGGAAACATGATACTACTAAATGGCTCAGCACAGGCTCAGAACACATTTTATGTACGAACAGCAGACCTCCAGATAGTCATGCAGCTCATTTCTGATGAACAGCTAGCGCTGATAGAGCCTCATATTGAAACAACTACTTCAAGCAATTTAACAAACCAGACAACACTTTCACAGGAGGTGTATAGCAATGATGTGACTCGTGTGTGCATGGCACAGGAAATGGTAAATAATGCTGAGATGAGCAAAAAGAGTGGTTCCAGTTGTGAATCTGCCAGTCCAATAAACAAAGCGGAAATTGTTTGTAGTTTAAACTCTCAAAATGATAAAAATTTTACAAATGGAAGCCCTCAGTGTGTTTCATCTTGGTCACATCCACAGAAAAAGGTTCATATCTCAGCCTCAGTGGATTACAAAACAAGTTCAATTGGACAATTGTATGAACCACAGAAGATACCTGAAAATTCACAGGAGAGAAAATCTCCTGCGTTTGAAGTTACCACAGAGACACGCCACAAACTAGCGGCTGGAGACAAACCAAGTGAACCTCGTTTAGTGGACAGTAACTATTCTAGAAGAGGGAATGACAAAGAGCCCCAAAACTGTTCTGTCCATAACCACGATTCTGACAACTCCTCTGAGGACCAAACATTCATAGAGACATCCAGAGATAAAGAGCTGTTCTGTTTAATGGAGCCAAATCACATTCAAACTATAACAAATACTAAGCCAGTTGAGCCAAATGAAACAGGCCACCTCATGCCAGTCACATTATCAGGAAACTGTGAAAGTATTCAAACAAATATCAGAACTTGTATTTGTGAGAAAAAGACCTCTACTGCAGAATCACATCATATGCAAAAAGAGCTAAACTCCACAATACAACCCAGTCACAACAAGCCACACTGGGCTGCATGTGGCAGCTCAGGTTTAGATACAAGAGAAATGAGAGCATGTGACAAATGTAAGCTCAGCTGCAAGCATGGGACACTGGTGACTGAAACATTTTGTCCAGGCCAAACACCTACACAGTATGATTTCAAACAGGCCTTTCCTCTAGGCCCAGGTGACTTTGGGAATGACACCTATAGTGAAGTGAAAGCATCCTGTCCGATGCTGAACAGGACATCTAACGTTCATAGCATTCTTGAAGACAGCACCAGATGTGGAGATGTCCAAACACACCATGGCAATCTGGAAATATTTACAGGTGGGACCAAATTCTAACTATATAACTCTGCAAAGTAATATTGTCATGCTATTTAAAGTGTAGCACTGTGTAGTTCTTGCATGTGATAGAGCAACCATAGCTAGACATTATACATAATAAATACTTATAACACAGGGTGCCATAACATTTTCTCTCCACAAGATGGTGACAAGAGATCTAAAATTCCTGTGTGTCTGTTACTAGACATTGTCCTCCAATGTTGCTCTTGACCTCTCTGAGAAAGTCTAATTTGCACCCACACTTGTAAATTACAGCAGACATTTTATACTTTTAACACTTGAGCTGTTGAGCTGCTAAGTTTTTTTTTTACCAATATTATGAAAAGTCACATGCTGTAGCAACATAAGAATATTACCAAAATCTTTGAATTCTTTGTGAAATGTTGCAGAATTCTAAGTGGATGAATACAGAAAACCTTGCTATTGAAGTAGTCAGACAAAAATAGTAATAAAAGGCAAATTACAGGTTAAAGAATGAAATCTTCAGAAAAGGATGCTTGCATGGAAAAAAGTTTATTACATCAAATTTAAAGGACGTGCAATTTACTAATGGCCAAAGAAATTGCATAAACTGCGACCATTAATATTATATTAAAAATTATGTTTCCTGTATCATGAGAGACATGCCAGAGACATCTCAGATTGGTATACAGCACTACACATTTAGTATAATTATGTCAAAAAAGGGCAAAGCTGTTAAACCATTCTGTCTTGCCCGTTCAAGTTATCCAGTGATATCAGTTCACAAGCAGAACCTGTTTTTAATTCAGTAGGATCACCAAGATTTTAGTGTGCGAGGGTGAATCTAAGGTGAACATCATTAAGTTGTCATCACATTCTTTGGGGCATTTTTCTGTCCTAACCTTTGTAATTCCACTGTATTCTCATACTGACCTGATGTTTCTCTTATCTGAGTCACTTGTTAGAGGGAAACATTTGATCCTTGCCGTCTTTACGGTGTTAATCGCACTCTGAAGAGATTCCCTTTCATTAGGTCACAGGTCACTCAAATTAGTCACAGGAACAAATATGAAGAAGGTCAAGGGTCAATCAGAGGGGCTTAGAATAAACAAAACACACAGCCCCCCAAAGAAAACGCTGAGGAAAAGTGCTAAGGAAATGGTTGCTTCTTGAGTTAAAGTGAATGGTGGTCTCTCTATTAGAGATAAAATAGTTGATCAGAACAGATATCTTAACCCTCCCAACTAGCCTGGACTGCCGTAGGTTTGACTGATAAGATGTGTTCAGGGAATTGACAGGGTTCTCAGGATCAGAGATCACTGGAAGATGGTCCCCACAGGGACTCACCAGAGCAAAGACCCAGAGGTTTAAGCGAGATTTTGCGCCTGTCTCCATTCCAGACGGCTGACAAGCAATCTGAGAGCCAAATGCAGCCTCCTTTTCTGAGCAATGCTGCACAGAGACATGCGCAAGAGTTCAGCCAAACCAGGTCCACCCCAGAGAACCTGACTGATTGTTTTTCATCAAGACAATCATTTTTATATCTCCACCGCCATAATATATGGTAGCATATGTTGGTCCGTGTGCCTTGATATACAATGTGAATCTGTCATGTTATCTTTTTCTTCATTTGGCTGACATTGGGTTTGCAATGAGGCATATGTTCCAGGAGGCTGAACGTCAAAAGATCTGTACATTAATTACATAAGTTTTCTGGCTGAAACGTTTGCATTCACAATAACAGTTTTATGTTCAGTTTTAAAGAGATTTCTGTTTCCAATGTATCAGTTTTGGACAAAGAAGTTTTTGGTTGCCATAAAACCTCTTTAGTTGCCTATAAAAAAGTTGACATAAACAGTTGGGTGTGCATGATCATATTTTATGAATGTTCATGTTTTGAACAACTTAATAAAAAGTAACACTTCTGGTCATGTCAGTATTATACAACAAGCCCATCCTCTTTTGCATTGAATTTATTTTAATACTTGGAACTGGCCTCATAAGACATACAAACAAACTGGATATGGATTCAAAATGCAGCTAGTCATTTAGACTTTTGTAGTGCTTTTTTGTCTGTGCTTTCTCTCTCTCTCTCTCTCTCTCTTTGGATATAATAAAAAATACTTTTCAAGATACAGGAACAATTGATTAGATGTACAGAACTAACTAATCATTCGTTAATGCATTAACTATCATTAACTAACAATGAGCAATATATTTGTTTCAGTATTTATTAATTAAAATACAACTGTTCATTGTTAGTTCATGTAAGCTCAGGTCCATTAACTACTATTAACATTATTAATATTACATAGACCCAAACAATTATTTAGTGCCTTTATACTGAATTTATTTATTTTTTTCGTAAGTGTGCTTCATGTAAATTTACATAATTGAACTGGTTCATTTATGTTTAATATGTGATTTGACATATCTTCAGACTTTTTTTTTTACAGTGTTTAAAGCTGTTTTCATCATAGGAACATTCTTCAGATCCACACAATGTTTGTGTGGACATTTGGACCTCAAAAAGATGTATTATACCATTAAATTATTTCAATACTTGGAACTGCCCTCATAGGACATACAAACAAACTTTTGTGATGGACCGAAAGAATAAGCTGAGACCTGGCTTCAGGGCAGACTCCAAAACATGCTGCATATATTCATTCATTGTTCTGCCCTCAGGACCTGTGAAGGATGGTACCCTCAAAAGCTTGCAGTTTCAGAGGGACCCTAGGAAACAGAGCAAGGAATCAATCCCCAAAGATCCTGAGAGTGGAGGTGGAGAGGGGGAAAGCGCCAGCACAGAGGTGGCTGACAAGAACAACACATGCCAAGTTTTCAAAGACAATAGCAAAAGAGACAAAAGAAAGGTGAGAGAACCGAAATAATGGGCTCATGAAGAATGGGAGGTCATTAGGGAGCATAGGTAGTGACAGGAGAAGTCCTAAAAGACCATTCAAATCCAAGAAAAAAGTGGAATACACAACCAGGTGTTTAGCATAACATTGAGGGCAATGATGTAACCAACAACAAATTTTACACTGTGACAGTTTACTAGACCATATACTATTTTTAAATGTTTTATTTTGATGAATTATTATAAGTATTAAGTAATACTTAGCTTAATCTAATTCCGAGTATGGGTCACCATACTTGGCCACGTCACTTAATAAACCACTTCACATCCAACCAAAAGACAGCGTTAGAGGGTCTGTCTTTAGACAGTCTGAGGTGTTCCAAAATGTGTACTAATGTTATGTATGTTTCCTTTGACAATAGGAAGATGCAACTTCTTGTGAGGAGCATCAAACATCTACTCAAGCTCACCCACATTTCTCTCGGGAAGTGTCCCTCAACATTTCAGAACCACTTCAGCACGAAAAATTTGGAGTGTCAAACAATCCAGAAGCATCTGTTTGCACAAACATTGTTTCACAAACCTTTCAACATCAAGGTCAAGGGGAATGTAGCAACACCAGAAAAGACAGTACGGGTGAATATTTGGGGAACAGTCCTTCTCAAGAGACAAGCCAAAAGGAGACATCTTCACCAAAATATTCTAATCAAACATGCAGACATCTTTTGGTACATCCACTCAAAGTGAATACCACGCAAAATGAATTCCAAAAGGAGACACAGCCAAGGGGTCCTATGAGCTACTGGATTTATTCAAAAGACAATCAAGTACAGACATCAAAGCACAAAATGAGTGGCACAATTGTATCAGCCAGCGTTTTGCAAAATAACTGTGGTGCTTCAAAGACTAAGATCGTTAATGCACGTATTGCTTCACCATGCAGTGCTGGGCCCAGTTCTTGCAATGCCTCACATCAAATGTCTAGTCAAGAACTGCACACTTATCAAATATGTCCCCCAGCCATACATAGCAACCCAACATATTTAGGTATCAGTAGTTACTTGGAACATGAGGACAGTAACAGCAGCAGTGATGATGAGCAAAAACTAGTCATTGAACTTGAGTAAGGTGGGCGTACACACAAAACAAGGCAAAACATCTCATTCTCACTCCCAAGGTGTCCGATGCTGCTAAATGCCTCGCTATACAGACGGCAAAAGAGCCCTTTAGCGGCTTTAGTGACTTGCCATCATTAGGCTGACATGAAAACCATGGTATTTTATCATCATTAATCTATATACTGGGGTATAACTTTGTTAAAATGACATACCGTATGTTGATGTAACAGTCAGATCAAAGCTCAGTCGAAATAATGTTTTCAAATAATTGCAAATATGCAAAGTTTTTCAAGGCCAAACTATTGCTTTGCATGAGGAACAGACCGAAATGTAATCATGATACCAGTCTGAATGCTGATGCTGAAATCCTGCACACATTCATAAACTGCTGCCTGAAGAAGATTTACCACATCTTTGTCTTTGTGACCTTCTGCATCATGCTAAATTTTGGATTTATCTTTTCAATGAGAAGTGACTGTGTTTACAGAAAAGGAAGCTTTTGAAAGGCGGGGCATAGAGGAGAAACAATAATGTGCAGTATGTGGAAAATAATGTGTTTTTTTAACCTTAAACCGCATAAACACATTTCATTACACCAAATACACAAAATAATGTTATTTTTAGCAGCATCATATGACCCCTTTAAAACCGTATGATTCGCTTTGTTCCTCATATAGAGTGCTGCGAGTTTTCTCAGTCTAAGATAGCTATGGATTCAAAATGCAGCTAGTCATTTAGACATTTGTAGTGCTTTTTTGGTCTGTGCTTTCTCTCTTTTTCTTTGGATATAATAAAAAATAATACATTTCAAGAAACAGGAACAATTGATTAGATGTACATAATTAAGTTAATATTGGTTAATGCATTAGCTATCAATGAGGAATATATTTGTCACAGTATTTATTAATTAAAATACAACTGTTCATTGTTAGTTCGTGTAAGCTCAGGTGCATTAACTAATATTAACATTATTAATATTACACACACACACACACACACACACACACACAACCAGTTATTTAGTGCCTTTATACATAATTTTTATTTTATTTTATTTTAACGTAATTTAACTGGTTTGTTTATGTTAAATATGTGATTTGACAATCTGATTTTTAGGAAACAAACAAAAGTAATTCTTAGTCAAAGAAAGAAAAAGCTTATTATGATAACAAATGCAGACTTTTATTTATTTATTTTTATTTATTTTTTAACAGTGTATAAAGCTGTTTTCATCATAGGAACCTTCCTCAGGTCCACACAATGTAGGTTTTGTGTGGACATTTGGACCTGAAAAAAAGACAGTAAGACCTTACTCAAAACCACCCACAGACAATCTTAATTATTTTATCCATGCCCACAGGTGCATCCAGGTGCATTTTATGTACACGCAAAACACCCAGCCAGTTCCTGCATCCTCACGCTACCCTCCATCAACAGGTGCACATGTGCTGTGAATCATACAGCATTTCACAGCCCTAGGAGTTTCACCTTTAATTCTGTAAAGGCACCTGGAGAAAGCACGCAGGATGTGCACATTCTTCTTGAGAGTGTAATCTCTTTATCTGACTCACAATGGCTGAATGAGTATAAAGCCTTGGCCCAAGAATAAATTCTCACAGTGGGGTTCCACAGAGATCAGTCATCAAGCCATCAGTAAATGCAGTGATGGCAATGAGTCAGCCAGTGGGAGGCCTCTGGCAGTGTGACTAAAAAGACTTTTACTCATCACAGACTTTAACCTTCCTGCACTGTTATCAGTTCTAGTTGGCTGAATAGACAATGACTATATCGATCACTGTATAATCGTATCACTGTATAATCGTGTGTATATATATATATATATATATATGAATATATATATTTGAATGTTACCTCAAATGTTAAGTATTTACAAATGTTTTTGAATTGATCTACTGTTAAAAAATACTGTTAAAACAAAAAGTTGTTTTTTTCATGCTGGAATACATTGTGTTATTTGATAAGTTGTTTAATTAAATGACAAATCAAAATTATTTTTGTATAAATTCTATTAAAGTCATATGTTATTGTATGTGTACATACTGTATGTGTTTACTACAAATTCTCAAAATTATGATATGAAATAATCCAGCATTTGCCACTTAAGAGACAAGATGACTTGAAGGAGTAAGATGTTATATATAAACACTTTTTAAATTAAATGTACATGCAATAGCCATAGATTGCTATTTTCACTGAATGGATTAACAAGCACAGATCAGATTATTTATTTATTTAACAATAATCAGTAATACTGTAGCAAGACAGCCATGTTTGATTCTTTTTTTATTTTGCTTAGCTGTAAATATGCATTTGTAACGTACAGTAATAAAATAGTGATTACTCTGCAACACCTTATTACACATATTACACCACAAATCCTTTGAAAGAGCTTTACAGTTGTTGTTTTGTTTTTTTAAAGGCTTAACAACTGCCACACTACTAAATAATGTTGTCAGGTCAGTAGCATGGCTACTTCAGTTAGTTACTCCCTAAAACTTGAAGACACTGCATATACAGATAATACTGTCAAAGGCCTGAGACTATCAGTTAAACTGTTTCAAACTGTTTATCTGTTCATCATTCTTAATGTTTTAGCACATGGTCAAGAAAAAGGAGATCCTATCTTTTCTTTCGTGTTTGTGCACTGCAGAGTCTTTTGTAAATTCTTCCCCAATCTAAAGTTATAAAGATGCCAAACACCATTATTCAATAAGCTTTGATAACTATATTTTGTGGTCCACTGTGTAATGACCATGGCTCATGACCAAACATTGAGGTCTTATGGAGCAAAAACAATCGGTCTATGCAAGAAACTGAACATTATTTACAACATTATTTCCTTTAATCCACAGCTTGGGCAAATGGTTCTCAATGCGTTCACAACTGTCCTGTCGCATCATTCCATGTCATCCTCTTTCTCATAAAAATATTCATCACCATTGTAAATTTACAATTTGTGAGCTTTCGACACTGGTACTGCTGGTGAAGGTCTGCACACAAGTCCTCACTCTCTGATGAAAAACAAACAGTGTCAGCTTATGTGTGAGTATAATGCTGTACATAATTTATGTTAATGAGTTGTTAAATGAATTTTTCACAAAAATTGTATACTTAATAAAATAGTATACAATTTTCTACCCTTTGCTCATTCTGGCTTCCAGAACCCAGCTCCAAACTGATGCAATTTGACACCTACTGACTGTCCTCAGTGCCTATGCCGGTTGACCCAGGGGTTATGCCCATACTGCAGTGGAGGGGAACACATCATTTTGATGTGTCCCGTTCAACCCCCTCCAGCAGTAAGTTATGTTAATACCCCTAACGTTAGCCACTCACCCTTATTATTTCCTGTTAAACTTACTGCCTCAGATCTCTGGACCTCCTAGGCACAATCAACCTAATTTGTATCCAGAAGTGAAACGAATAGACCACTTTTGTGACCCTCCAAGCCATTATGAATATCAGGTCATGCGGTATGTACCATCCAGTTCCTAGGCTATGCCATCAGTCCTGAGAGTATTCAAATGGCCATAGGGAAGGTAGAGGCAGTAAAATCTTGGTCAGTACCCTCCACATCTAGGAACTTCAATGCTTCCTTGGATTTGACAACTTCTACGGACAATTCATTAAAAGCTACAGGACCATAACTTCTCCATTAACTTCCCTCCTAAAAGCCAAGCTGAAGTCCCATGCTTTCCAATGCCTCAAGCTTGCATTCACTTCCACCCCTCTTTTAGTATACCTTGATCCACACAATCCATTTACAGTCAATGTCGGCACTTCCACCACAGGTGTGGAAGTTGTACTCTCTGAGCAGCAAGGGAAATCTTCCAAGACTCCATCCATGTGCCTATTTCTTCAAAAATCTATACTCTGCGAAGCAAAATAATGACATTGGAAACCAGGAACTTCTAGTGATCAAGTTGGCTCTGGAAGAGTGGTGGCATTGATTAGAGGGGGCCTGTCGTCCATTCGTGGTACTCACTGATTATAGAAACCTAGAATATCTCAGAGAAGCCCAACATCTCAAGCCAGATGGGCCCTTTTCTTTACTCACTTCAACTTTACCATCTCATATCATCCGAGGGCCAAGAACATCAAGGCAGATGGTCTGTATAGGCTACATTCTGTGGAAGAGACTGCTGAAAACATACCTATCATTCTGCCATGCCTCACTGACAGCCCTATACAATGGTAGCTAGAAGAACGCCTCAAGGGGGTATGGAGAGAAGGTAGAAAGTAGACTTCATCACAAACTTATAAATGCTCCACTAACAGTTAGCTCAGCGTCTGGCAACCATTATTTCATTCTACATACAGTATTTGGACAGTGTTAGATTTTTACCTGCCTACTCGTAATCTCTATTGCTCATCTGCCCCTGGGCTGCAGATTCAGCATTATATTAATCTGCTATACTTTCAATAAACTATTTTGGTTTCTCAAATGTCCACTCATCTGAGTCTCCATGTAACACTCTTAGAGATATTTTTTTCCCCCCAGCAGTGGCCTATATGTGGAACAGTGTTCCACAGATTGTGAATGTTGTTTATTTATTGATTTTATTGATCCAAAATTATGATGGTAATAAAATTTGACTCTCATTTTGGAAGGTTTTTTTGGGAGAGCATGTGCATTATTATAATAACATGGAGTGCTTGACATACTATAATAACAACAGAACAATAGAACCTTTTGTAAAAATGGGTTTTTATAAAACAGCTTGTCAAACCAGTGCAAAGAACATGAGACAATGAGTTTGAAAATGTGAAAACATTGGATGTATCCAACTTTTTTTCTTAATTTCCACTGTCAGGTCAAATACATGTGTTTTTGTTTATTTCCTAATCCTGTGGTGAAAGATAAACTGAGATGGTGAATTATTTCAGTCGGGCTATCACTGAGGAGTTCAAATAACTTCCATAAAACCGCCAAACCAAAATTCTCGCCGCACAGTTCCCTGTATGGCAGTGCAGGAAACATCCAGGGAAATGTGACCACGTTCCTAAGAGAAAACAGAAAAAAAAACAGAGCTTATAGAAGAATGAAATCTGAACCAGACTGGAGAGTTCATCACCAGCCAGTCCAAAACCACAGTCTTAGGTATAACATGTAGAAGTAGAGAGAACTGGGCAGCAAATAGGCCAAACTATGTGTCTCTGGAACTAATTGGAACTAATTAAAAAAGACCTAACTAGGGGTGTAACGATTCAACAATATGGATCGATACATTGATCAAATGTCTAACAATACAATGTATTGATGCTGCTGTTGTGATTACTTATCTCATGTTTTTTTTTTTCTTTCGATACCGGTGCCAAATCGATACTTTTAAAACGGTTTC